CTGTTTTTTTTTTTTTTTTTTTTTTTTTTTTTTTTGCATGTTTTAGACAGAAATCAATAGAGGGAAAAGATGGGTGTTTGAGTTTGTTGTTTTAACAAGGAAGAGAACATGAAAATGGGGTTGTTGACCATTGAAGCAGAAAGGGGAAGGGGGAGTTGCAGTGAAACAGGTGAGTAGGGGGCTATTTTTGCAACCCCTTCGTTCTTCATCTTTTTTTGTTTAATTTTTAATGGTAATGGAAGCAAGAAATCAGTGGCTTTTGCTTGTGGAATCGGTGATGAGCAAGGATGACCAAGAGAGGGTTGTTGCTCTTTTGATTACTGGGAATTTACCCATCTCTAGTGGTGTTCTTTGGTAGGAAAATAAAGGAGAAGAACAGGGAAGGCTTTGGTTGCTTCATATGACAGAAAAGATAAGGAAGAACAATGGTGATGATCTCTTCTTTGATTGGGTTTTATGATAGCTTCATTTTATTTACTTCTTTTTATAGTTTATTTTAGCATATTTCATTCATAATTTAGATAATTTCCATGCATATTTTCCTTTTTGTTATTTTATGACTCTTTCGGGTACTTTCGAATCTTGTGAGCATAATTGCAGGTTTTCGGGTCTAACGGAGCGGGAGTGTTCGGGACGTATAGGAGGCGATGAGATTTGGTAGACAAAAATGATGTTGGGCTTGATGGGTAGTGGAGATGATGTATGGAGTAATCTTGATGATTATTTGAAGGCTTGGAGAGAAATAAACTTTAAATTTGCAAGATGCGGGGGAATATCCAAGCGTACGTAAATTATTAATCGGGCGAGTTCACGAGCTTTGGAGGATTTGGAGAGGTCAAATTGGGCTTAAAATGAAGAAAAACTTGAAGAAAATGGGCTAGGAGGTGATTGGATTCGATCTGGGCCAAGTGGGCTAAGCTATGGAGGCCCAAAACCTCAAAGATGCTACATCCAGGGACCACCCGCGCAACCCACCCGCGCAAGAGCACGCGGGTCGCGCAACCTCCTGCAGGGGCAATTTCGGAAATTCTTCTTTTGAGCTATTTGAGGAAGGTTGGTGCCCATCTTTTGCATACTCTTGGACATCCGATTTTTGAAGATTCTCTCTGGAGTTTTGGAGACTTTTGAAGGCCAAGAACCCTTGAAGAACATCATATTTTTACCTCTTGATTCTTGCTTAATGTTTGGTACAAATTTCTCTAACTTTGTTTCTTTGGGTTTAGCCATGCTTGGCTAAGCTAATCTTGGTTGACTTTTGGTTAATCCTTTGAACTTTTGTTGAATGTTGAAGAATCCATGAACATGTTCTTGAATCTTTATGGAAATGTTTTGTGTTTTAACATCTTATCATTACTTGTATGTTTTAGTTCATGAGTTTAAATGTGTTTGTGGTGATTAGTTGGCTAATTTCTTGATTAAGTAAAGGATCCTCAAATTAGCAAGCAACAAATGATTTTTGTGTTGTTTTTGCTTCACACAATCATAAAAACATTTCCTCCAACATGGTGGTGAAAGCATTTGACCCCTCTTGGATTTGGTGACTTTTTGGTTCTTAATGCTAGTTGACTTTCACTAATTACATGCTATTTGGAATTAGTGACTTTGACTAAGGAAATTGTTATGAGCTTCTCTAGCCATTTCAACAATTAAGAAAAGTCTAGGTAATCTCAAGCTCCTTGGATTACTATAGCCAAATTGAGGATTTAAAACAAGTATTGCACCATTGAATTCTAATGATATGTTCATCAAAAGTCAAAGTGAGAAAACTTTAAGTCAACCATCTTTCCCTTATTGATTTTACATCAAATTCTTATTTTTGTTGCAATTGTCTATTTAAATCATAGTTAATTCTAGTTTGTTTCAAGTATTTCAAAACATCAAAACCCCCATTTTTAATTTATTGTCATATTCCAAGTATTTTACAAAGAGATTTTTCATAGAGTTATCAAATTGAACCAGTCTCCGTGGATTCGATCCCTTTACCACTATACACTATTTTAGTGTGTAATATTTAGGGTTATTATTTGTGTTGGCCTCGACAACCACCAAATTTTTGGCGCCGTTGCCGGGGATTGGTTTATTTTTAATCAATTTGTTTCTCTATGCCCAGATCTCAGCGTATAGGTGACTTGATTTACAATCCAGAAATCGAAAAAGAAGCAAGGCGTTTGGCGAAGGAAAAGCGAATTGAACGTGGTCAAACTTCTAATCCTCATGGGGATCCGGAGGTCGAAACCGCTTCATTAAGCGACATAGAGCCCGATTCTAGTCCCGACCTTCGCCAAGAAATTCCCGAAACACCACCCCTACAACAAAATCCACCCATTATTGAACCAATTGAAATGGCGGACGGAGGAGAAGTTCCCGAAAGAACTTTGAGGCAAATGATGGAGACCGATGTTACACAAACTCCAACCGGTATCAATTACCCAGTTTTGGAAGGAGGCTCGGAGTTGAAGTCAAGTTTAGTCCATCACCTACCGACTTTCCATGGATTGGAGAATGAAGACCCTCATAAGCATTTGAAGATGTTCCACATTATTTGCACTAGCATGAAGCCACAAGGGTCAACCGATGACCAAATTAAGCTAAGGGCATTCCCCTTTTCATTGGCCGATAGAGCAAAAGATTGGTTATTCTATCTTCCACCGGGGTCGATCAACTCATGGACCGACATGGCAAGAGCTTTCCTTGACAAGTTTTATCCCGCCTCAAGAGTCTCAAGTCTTCGAAATGAGATTTGTGGAATCCGCCAAGGTCAAAATGAGACTTTCCATAATTATTGGGAGAGGTTCAACAACTTGTGCTATAGTTGCCCACAACATTTTACTAGTTAAATAGATAAAAAAAAAATCAATTCTTTCGATGATCTTATTGTATAGTTGTGAATTTTGATAGATATGGAGTACATTGTGATCTAAGGAAAAGAAAACATAAACGTGTGGTACAATTCTTGAGATTGACATGAAGAACATAAAAGAAATCAAAAATTCCATTTCTGTTGGAATGAAATCATGAATTCCAATTCTGTTGGAATGGAATCACGAATTCCAATTCTGTTGGAATCTAACCTACAATTTGGTTTTGATTTTACATAATTTGATGCTTGAAGAACGGTCCACAAAATTGAAAGTGATTCTAGACAACATTATTCTTTTAAAATGTATTAGTGTCGTTAGATTTTGATGTTTTCTTTCCCATTTTGAAAGTTTTTTTAGTTTTATTCTTTAACAATAAATGTAATTCTTAACTATTGTTACCCGTATTCTATATGAAATAATGTATTTTTTGTTTTTATTATTCAATTAATTGTTCAATAATTTGTTATTCTACAAGAAGTTTTTAAAGTCATGATCAAGAAAAAGGTTCCATGTGGTCGTGAAATGGTCCATGTGGTTGTGAAATGACGAAAGTGTCATTCAATTAACATACAAAACTTAACGAAGTTAGCAATAAAGATCAATCGTCATAAGTTTTGAGAGCACAAGGACCATCTATGATCTTTTTAAACCATGGGACTAAACTTTAGATATTGAGAAACCACACGGACCATTTATTATTATTATTATTATTATTATTATTATATATAAAGAAATAACTTTTTAAAAGAACGTAAATGCAATATTTAATAAAACATTTTTTTGTATATAAGTACGATTTTTCTGCATTAATACGTATAATATGAAGAAAAAAAATACTTACGGCAAAAAAATATAAACTTAAGGATAAAAAAGTAAAAATTTGTAAACTTAAGGGTTTTTTTTTTTTTTGCAAAGTTAATATAATGGTAACTGCATGGAAAACTTGTTATAATCGGTAAAATGATAAAATCGAACATTTTTTTGGAAAGTATGAGGGTAAAAACAGACATAAAATCCAACTTCGGGCAAAAAAAAAAAAAAAAAAAAAAAAAAAAAAAAAAAAAACCTGAAGGGTTTTTATGGTAACCCAAAAGAAAATCGATGAATGTGGTTTTTTAGGACAAATATTTGAAATAAAGTTTTTTAAAAGTTTGTCATGGATTATTTATGTTGCATAATGACTAAAAGGTTTGTATTTGACATTATGCTTTAACAAAATGTCACCTTAAATCATATATGCATATAAAAATAAATAAAATTAGAAAAAAATATATAAAATTATCTATTATATATAAGAAGTCATCTTAAGTCATTACACATGATATGATTCGTCACGACTTGTAAAAACTTAAGATTTAATGTTGTCATCAAGTTACTATTTGGTCCCTACTATTTGTTCGTGTTACGTGTTTGGTTACATTAGATTATTATTTAAATAGAGAAAAATAGTAGGGTAGATTAGGTAAGGTGAATGGGTAGGGTTGAGAGTGGGTTTATTTAAATAAATTAAAAAATCAAAGGCAAAATAATTTTTTTAGGTAAGAAATTGACTAAACGCGTAACAAAAACAAATGCTAGAGACCTTCCAAGTTAAAAAATAAATTATGGTTGAAACACGTAAATTACCCTAAACCATAGAGACCATTTGTGTAATTTACTCTTCATCAAATAATATGCTTAAATAGTTAAATTTTCACGAAAACCATATATTTGACATGGGTATAAAATAGAGTTCTTTTTTTATTCATAAATACTTTATTCAAATACGTAATGAATAAAATACAAAAAGTACAAAATAACGTATTCCGTTTTTCCTTGTCATATTCAATCCGTACGAAACTAACGAGAAAAGATTAGATCCCACAAAAACCTTCTTCGTTCCCTTGTTTTTCTTTTCACAACATGTGAAAGTAAAAATTAAAACTTAAAAAAAAAAAACAAAAAAAAGGTAACTTAATATCGGAAAGTGAGAATATAAAATAAGAAAGAAAATAAAAAAATCCTCTCGTTTGAATGGTTTACGAGATTAAGTTAATTTAGTCTTATTATGAAAAGCACCAAGTAAAATTGTTTTTGTTTATCTTCTTCATGAAGAATTCATCATAACCCTAACGAATTCCTCGTAGCTAATAACACCATCACCATCAAGATCAGCTTCTCGTATCATTTGTTCCAACTCTTCATCTTTTAATCGCTCCCCCAAATTTATCATCACGTTTCTTAGCTGCATACCGTAATAGATTAATTATTTGTATCCTATATTATATATATAGTTTTGGGATAAATAAGCTTTCATTATATTTGTTATATAGTACAATATATATAGTAATAGTTACCTCATCTGGTGAAATATAGCCATCTTGGTCTCGATCAAATACTTTAAAAGCTTCTTTTAGCTCGTCGCTCACGCTATCCTGTTAATTCCCGTAAATCATTAGTATAGCAAATAGGCATTATAAACTTATAACAACATAATGGGACACTTACTTCGTGTTTAATTTATTTATTTACCTCGTTATTTGTGAGAAAGGAAAAAAAAAAAACAAGTACTTACTTTCATTCTTTTGGACATGATACTGAGAAACTCATCAAAATCAATAGTGCCTTGTTCATTTCCATTATCAACTTCGTTCATCATCTCTTGGACATCTTCGTTAGTAGCATTTTCATTCAACGTCTGAATCACACCAATCAAATCATCCGTACTTATCAACCCTATTAACATAACGACACAACAAGATTCGAAGACATTAAGCAACTTAATTAAACCAGTAACACATTTTCTTAAATAAATAAATAAAAGAAAGAGAACATAAACATACCATCGGAATCCTTATCGATCATGGAAAATGCTTGACGAAACTCGTTAATCTGATCATATGTGAGTCTTTCAGCCATCTCAGCCTACTTGTTATTAAAAAACGTTGATTAGACAAAGATATATAAACTGAGAGAGGAGAAGAGGTTTTTTGCTTTCAATTATGAAAAGAATGGTTGAATAAATAACAACCAATGGCGTAGAAAATGGGTAAAAAGTCATAAATGTCCAAAAGAGAATTCTTCATTCAATAAATTATAAAGCAAAAGAAGTCGCTTCTTTGAAATTTAAATCGCTGACTCACATATCCTTGTTCCCAAGAGTCAACCAAAGCCTTAAACTTTCAGCTTGGACGATCTTGACTTTGGAAGATTTGTAAATTTTCATATATACTTTAATAAAAATATTTTATTATAAATTATAAATAGTAAAGGTAACCAAGTCAACAATATCTATAAACGCGCATGCAACGATCTTTGTATTTTGTTTTCTTCTTTTCTGGCTTCTTATTGGTTTGTTAATGCATTTGCCCGTTCAAAAAAAAAACATTACCTATAATTATAAATGAGTTGATTGGCTTGGTGTTAATCGATCTGCCAATTGAAAATTTTTAATTAAAGAGATGGTTTGAATTATTTGAAAATTGTCCAGAATGAATTAAATGCACACGCTTTATAAATTGATTTATTAAAAAAAATATGGCCATATTAATAGATAGTTATAGTATTAAAATATATATAGATAAACGGTGTTGATGGGTCGACCAACTCGACTCAAAGCGTTTTAACATGTATCAGCATATTAACTAGTTATAAAATCATATAATATAGACCGAATAATAGATTTATATTGTGTAAATTAAACTGTAAAAGTCATTGATGCAAGCAATACTATAATATGAATAAATATATCTACACTAACAGAGTAACAGAAATATTATTATGCTTGCCAACAAATATTATTGTGTGATGGTTATAAATGTAACTTATAATATTTTATACATTTAAAACAAAATCAAAAAGAATATTCAACAAAATATATATTATAAAGTCATAGCTAAAGTACATTACCAGTCCAGTTAAACAATGTTACAGTCTTGCATGATTCATAGACTGATAAGTTCGTTTTACCAAACCCCAAATCAAAAGCATTGAACGAGTCATGGTCTAGTAGATCCAAGATGAAGTTACAATCTCTGCTGCTTATGGTACAACTTGTTACAGAATCAACGACAAGGTTTAAACTTTAAAGTACAATTGAAGACTTCATCTTGGTCAAAGGTTTGAAAATATGAAGTCAATGAAAAATACCATTATATGTGGAAACTCTTCGATGGTCTTTTAAGTTGAGTATAAATCGGAGCATGTGTGATACAAAAATTTACTAAGAATATTTACGCATTTGGGTTCTGTTTGTGGCTTCTATTAAGCCATGAGGTAGCTTAGAAGTTAGAAGTGTAGTATATAGGTTTGGATTTTTCATGAGCTATTTTAGGCGATGGTTGTGGGTTACAACAACGTCATATTATTCTTTGCTTCCTATTATTCTGCATTGTTATTTAGACCAATTAATTCAACCACAAAACATTATTAACACAAATAATGACTTTTTAACATCAAAATTTTACGTTTTAACCATATGCTAAAATTTTATAAAAAACATATTTTAATAATATTATAATAATTAATATTTTCCTTATCATTATATATTTATATTATGATTCTATTTAACTTAATTATTACTAATATTTAAAATTAAGGAGTCTAACACAATAACCTAATTTTTAAGGATTTTATCTAAATACTTAAACTTAGCTTATTGTTATGGGAATAAACAATAAGCATCATCTTTTTTTCCTATCCAAACACCCCCGTACAATAACTACAAGGTGTCCAGCACGTTACATGGATTGAATGTAATTCTGCATGACTCTTCATGTGAATGTTTGCTACCCTCTTCAGAGTAAGTTGATTTACTTTTACAACAGAAAGTGACTCTAATACTTTAGTTAAGGTAAACAAGAAGTTATTACTATATAAACTTGCAGGTTTGTTTTATTGAAGAAATATAACTTAAAAACTTCAATTGATCATAATTACAGGAACCTAAAAACTATCTTCTTATACTAAACGTATCTTCTTAACATTAAACTAGGATTCCTAAAAACTTTCCATATAAGCATTCCTTATAGCTCAAGGAAGACTTGCAAACCTTGGACAACACTCCAAGTCTTGGACGATCTGGGACAGAACACGTAAGCATACCATATATGTCTCAATAAATTCACCAACAATCACCCCCTGAATTTCTGAGTCGATGGTAATTCTTGCACACCAAGCAACACTCTCATCTCAGCGAACCTTGTTTGAGTTAAGGCCTTCGTAAGTGGATCTGCTCGTTGCTTGTCTCCTGAAACACGTTCAACAATCACTTGCTCGTTTTCCACACGCTCTCGAATAAAGTGGAATCGAGTGTGAATGTGTTTGATTCTTCCATGAAAGACATGATTCTTTAACAATGTTATTGTTGATTTGTTGTCTATGCGAATCAACACCATCTGTTTCTTTATTCCTATCAGCTCAGCCAATAACTCCCTTAACCATACTGCCTAACACGCAGCTGCAATAACTGCCTTGAACTGCGCTTCACATGATGACAAAGCTACGGTATCTTGTTTCCGGGAGCACTAACTGATAGGTGAATCACCAAGGTAGAAGACATGCCCTGTTATACTCCTGCCATCATCAATATCCACATTGTGACTGTTATCATTGTGACATATCAAGCTCATATTTTTACTTGGTTTATATACTATCCCAAAAGATAGAGTACCACGCAAGTAACAAAGAATTTGCTTAATACCGTGCGTATGAGATTCTCTTGGACTTTACATATAACAGCTAACTACTCCAACTGAATATGCTGAATTCGGACGAGTGTGTAAGACATATTGTAAACAACCTACTGTTTTTCGATAATAGGTAGCTTTAACTTTTGGTTCATCTTCAGCTTTTGACAACTTTAGTCCTGGCTCCATCGGACATTGAGTTGCATTACACTCTTGCATGCCTGCCTCTTTTAGAATCTTCATAGCATAACTCTCTTGCTTCACCTTTACACAACCATTTTCTTGCAATACTTCAATGCCTAAGTAACAAGTTAGTTCACCAAGGTCCGACATTTCAAATTGTAACGTCATTAGTCTCTTGAATTGGTTTATAAACTCTAAACTTGTTCCAGTCACGAACAAATCATCTACATAAACCACAACTATTATGTATTATCCATTTGCAACCTTTCTATAAACCGCATTTTCTTGCATGCATCGTTTAAAACCAATATTTCTCAATGTGTTATTAAGCTTTAAATTCCATGCACGTGGAGATTATCGAAGACCGTATAATGCTTTTGCTAATTTGTAGATTTTTGTTTCTTCACCTTACTTCATGAAACCTTCCGATTAGCACACGTACACTTCTTCTTTTAAATATCCATATAAAAATGTCGTTTTTACATCTAAATGATGAATCTTCCATCTATTTCCGGCTGCAAGAGCAATCAATATTCTTATTCTCTCGAGTCGAGTTACTGGCATGAATACTTCATCAAAGTCAATGCCTTGCTCTTGTACATAGCCTTTTGCTACTAGACGAGCTTTGTACCTTGTAATTGATCCATTCGTCTTTTAATTTTATGCAACCATCTTAACCCAATAGGTTTAGCATCTTTAGGTGGAGGAACTAATTTCCAAGTATTGTTCTTCTCAATGGAGTCAATTTCAGCCTTCATTACATCGAGCCAATTTTTGTTCGCTTTGGCTTCCTTAAAATTCTTTGGTTCTTCATTGAATGACAACATTAAATGATCAACATCGAACTCGTAGTCATTTAATCTTCTTGGCAACACTAAAGTTCGAGTGGACCGCCGAAGTGGGAAAAAACTTGCATCGTTATTTTGATCATCAACAGGTTACAATAGGTTGCTATCATCGTTATAAGTGTCATTAGTTTGGTCAGTTTGGGTCAGATCAGTGAATCGTTCAGTTTATGTTGTAGTTGGGATCTAACCACCATTATCTTGGGTTGCTTGACCATTACTCCATGTAACATCCTAAGTTCAAGGGTGCAAAGTTCAAGGTTTAAAGTGAAAATGTGAATGATCAACTCGACGAGTCCATGGGTAGACTTGGCGAGTAGGGTCGCGATTCTGGTCGCGTGTCTAGTGGCCAACTCAGCGAGTCGGTGGCTGGACTCGGCGAGTTGGTGTTGTGTGGAGAAAACCCTAATCCCGGGGGATTTGGCCCTATATAAAGAACATAATACCCTCTCCCTAGCCTCTTTGCTCTTCCTTGAAGTCCAGAAACCCTAATATTCGTTGTGAGAGAATTAGAGAACATTTGGATCTTGAAGGAGTGTTTGTTAAAGAGATCTTTGAAGATTAAGAGGCTTGGAGCAAGGGGCTTTTCAAGGTTTTGACTTATTCTTTTGTTGAAGCCTTCTTTTGAGGTAATGATTCGTTGCTTGAGCTATTATCCATCTAGATCTATCATTTGTGGGATTTTTGGGTGTATATCTAGTGTTATCTTGAGTTTGGAGGTTAGATCTGAGGTTGCTACCTCAGATCTAGAATAGTGATGATCCAAAAGAGCATAAAGTCCCTGTTCAAGAGCTGTTGATGAAGTCTTTTAGCCCCCAAACCTTAGAACCAAGAGTGTATTATGCTTAGATCTCCTTGGATTCACGTAAAGTTTGCCACTTTACGTGATGGATGGCTTGTATAAGAGTAGATCTATGGATCGGAGACCCTACATGGCTTGGAAAGCCTCTGTATGGTTTAAGAGCTAGTGGTACTCGGCGAGTCACATGGGTGTACTCGGCGAGTTGCATGAAGATAGGAAGAAACTTGGCGAGTTGGTTGAAGATAGCCTTGAACTCGGCGAGTCTGTTCTTGGACTCGACGAGTCTGGTCTTGAGGTCCTAATCTTTTCTGGTTAAGCTGAGAATCGGTGAGTCAAGGGATGACTCAGTGAGTTGAGTACGGTTTGACTCAGAGTTGTGGGACTCGGCGAGTCTTGGAGTGACTCGGTGAGTTTATTCGTGTTATGGGAGTTTCAGAGCATGGGGACTCGACGAGTCAGCGAGTTGACTCGGCGAG